TTTAACAGTTTTTGTTCAGATTTCAAATTTTAACCTGAACCATAGCAGCTATCAGCAGGTGTTGATTATCGATGCGATAGGTAAGAAACAAGATGGAACATTTCATTCATTTCATTTCATTTTGCTAGTTTAGCACTTTTAAACTTTTTAGCTTTAATTTTAAAATTTAATTTCAATATTTGTATCGCGTTTTTTATTTGTTTATTCTTTTAATTTATTTATTCTTATAGTAATTCACCTCCTACCACTATTTGCGTTCTGTCAAAGTTTGATTTTTGAAAAAAGAACTAAACAAAAAAAGATTAGGTTATAGATTTGTATGATGGACGTCCAATAATTTACAAAAATCTTCCACCATGAATGAGCATTCTCAGCGGCATAGCAAAACATTTTTGGCAGGAGGCGGGGCTTAAGTTTGCTTAAAAGGGCCGACAACATTCTTTCTTAGGCTTATTACTCAATTTTATTGTCAATTTTTATATTAAAAACAGTGCGAAAAAAAAAATTTTTGTTGATCTGTAGCAGCTTTCAGTCCGAATTGATTGAGAGATTTTGTTCGATTTAGCCAAAACCAAAATTTTCATTCCTGGAAAGCTACGTGTTTTTCTTTCAAAGTCCGCTTTACTTAAAATAAGAACCAACTTAAATTAGGTTACGGTACGGTACGACGCATGGAAAATCCTTCACTGTGTTTGGTGAGCATGGCACTAAATAATTTTGTAACATTGCTATGATGATATTCTTCGACCAATGTAAAACATGCTTAGATACTTTGAAATTTTGAAAAAACATTCGCATAGTTTTCCATTATTTATCTATATTTGAATATCATTAAAATCCAACGAAAATGAAAAGAAAAACACAAAACCAATCCTTTTTGTAACATTGGCTCGTTCAAGCATGACGTAATACTTTTCATTATTGGAGGAAAGAATTCATCCTTGAGAAAGGTGATTTTCATGTTGAGGTCCACACAGTTATGTGCAAAGATGAAGCGCCTTTACTACTTTACAGAATGTTCCAGAAAGATTTCGTAGAATCATTAAACTGCCTGTGGCTTTCTTACAGCATGGACTGCTTGATTCCTCTGTCACTTGGGTTATCAATAGTCGTAGAAGAAGTTTAGGTTAGCAAGAAATATTCGCCAGTTAACAATTTTAGTATAAGTTTTGAGAAAATATTATTGATCAATCAAATTCTTCAATCACTACAGGTACATATTTGATATTCCTGTTTCATAAATGCTCAGTAATATTTCCATTACCAGCTTATGTTCTTGCTGACGAGGGTTTCAACGTCTGGTTAGGTAACGTGAGGGAGACTTCTTATTCCGTTGGATTGCCAGGAGTTGACCAGAATGCTCAAGAAACTTGGGATTTCACGCCGGTTTTTTCAATATTTTGCATCTGCAAATTTTAAACTCAAAAAATTGTATACAAAAATTGGTACTTTATTTTACGTTCTGCTAAAAATTTATTATGGCTCAGTGTTTGTTTGATCAGCATTGTTGTAGCAGCAATCAATCATTGAAGACTTATACGATACGACTAATTGACAATTGAAAAATGTTCATTTTCACGTTTTTGTAAAAAGTTGGACGGAGATGGCGCGTTTGGAGCTGCCAGCGATGCTGACCTACGTGCACAATAAAACAGTAAAGAAGATCAACTACATTGGCCACTCGCTTGGAACGTTGATTGCATTTACAGCCTTCTCGTCACATCCAGAAATGATTAACTTGACTAACAATTTCTTATGTGGTTTCGTCGCAACATTGCAATAAAGAGACAAAAATTTGTATACAGATGGTCTCAAAATGGTTCATCTTCAAAATGAGTCGGAGGTAGCCGATAGTTTACATAATTTGATTTTGAAAGCAAAATAATTTTTTCCGCAAAATTATTTGTTTCGCGCGAATATATTTCTATCATAATTTAATAAGTCTATTAAGTAATTTCTTATTTGTTTTGAATCTCTTAAATTTTGATGTAAATTCGTTTGAGATTGTGGAGTGTTTTCAACGGCATTAGCTTCATTAATTTTATAACTTATCAGCGGAGTATAACTTTAGCGCAAGATCAAATCGATCATTTTGAAGATTTTTCATTTAAACTTTTTCTAAGTTATTGTAACTAATCATTTTAAGACATGCCTTAGTTCGAATTCAATAAAAAGTTACAGCAAGCTAAACAACGACGAAAACTATAAAGGTTCTTTTGTATGCCATTGTTAGGCTGTTTTTGTTACCTGCTTGCCTACATTCGCACCTAAAAACTCCAGTAGAGGCATGTATAAAATTATTGAATCATCATAGATAAATTGTATTATCAACATTTTTGTTGCCATTTTCAAGTTATTGCGTGTTTGATTTGATTGAAAAATGAAGTTTCTAGTGCTGGTTGGCATGTTGTTGGTTGTTTGTGGATTGTTCTCCACCGCTGAAGCAGGTTCAATTGTTTTCTATATACATTTTTCAATTCAAGATCTGGTAAAGTTTTTTTTTGAAATTATACTATTCATTAAATTTAATTTGTAATTTCAATTAGAAATAATATAGACTGTTTTTTTCAATGTAAACCAGACGTGTACGATGAAATTATGAAAGCCGTGCTAGAGTAAGAAAGCTTTCTTGTGTTTATTTTTATAAATTATTATAACTTTTTTTAAATGGTCATATAAAAGAGCAATTATAATTTGCTAAGAGCTAAGATAGAAGAATCAGAAAAGGCTGAGGCTAAAGGAGAAGAAGAAGAAGAAGCTGAAGCGGAACTAAAAGGTCTCTTCAACTGTAGAACAAATGGTGCTTCTTGTAACGCCATCCAAAAATGCTGTAAAGGAAACCGTTGTTCTGGCATTCTAGTAATTTTTTTTTGGTTCTTCTTACTGAGTTTCGAAATTGAAAATATGATGTTGCAATAATGAAGTAACATTTCTTGCAGAGTGGAACGTGCATCAGCTGTGGTAAACAGGGACAAAAATGCCTATACGATTCAGAATGCTGTCCTGGAACTGAATGCTCTGGTTTTCTTATTACTAAAAGAACTTGCAAGGCAATTACAAGAAGAAGCAAAAATTTGAGGGATTAATAACTATTTTCCAGAAGTTACACAAAATTTCATGATTAAACATTTATATGACTAACTTGCCTGTGCGAAAATGCGTTTTAATGAACTAATAACTGCTTGACTTTTAAATGTTGCATTATTTTTGATTTCAATGTATTTCTTTTTCATGAATATGATATAGGTGTGGGCATGCGTGCGTGAATGTGTGTGTGAATGTGTGTGTTTGTTTGAATGCTTTGTTATTTCAAAATCATAATTCTCTGGATATTTAAAAATAAACTACTTGAATAATCAACAAATTGAAAAGACAATTATTTATGAAACTTTTTCAATTATCGAAATAAATTTGTTAGTGGTTTACACAGTTTTGTTATTTTCCAATAAGACTTGCTTGATTCAAACAATAGGTGAATAAGATCTATAGTAAAATGCACTGTTACCTCTTACAATGTAGACATTCTGCCGAGTGTTTCAAGGTATGTTGTGAACAAAATTTCATTCCATGAAATCGCATAGAAACGTGAACATTTACCAAGTTCTCGATATCCCGAAAACAAAATATAGATTGTGGATTTTGGTTGACACATACAAAAAACCGTCTGCTGGGAAAGGATTCAATCTAGTTGAAACATTTTTCAAATTATTTTATTTAGTTGCCTCAAATTATATTTTGTCTTCATCGTATCACGTTCATTTCATTTTAAATGTCAACATGACGAGATATCTCTATTCTTTGTTTCTCCTATTTTTGGTTTACATAATTCTGTTAGTAATCCAACCGCCCACGTAAAACGCTCACTATTGGCAATAATATTGGAAAAAAAAATAATAATAATATTTTTATGCAGTGACAGAAATTTGGAGGAAAAAATGATTAAATCACAACAACAAGGTTCATTCCTAAAGATTAAGGTTCATTTCTTTATCATGAATTATTTTGTATTTTGAAATTTGAATATAGAGAACTTTTTAAATGTAAAAGAGATTATTATGTGTATTCTTTTTCTTTATAAAAAAAAATATATGAAAAAATTTGAGAGTTTCTCAAATAAAATGATAAAAATAAAATGTGCTTTCAAGGTCTTAACTAGAAAAATTTAACGGAAAATAAAAATTCTGAAAGTTTGCTACATTCATTCAAAAGCTTTTCAAATTTTCACAAGTGCCAATCCAATTCAAATTTATCCCTACTACTACTACTACTACTATTACTACTACTACTACTACTACTACTACTACTACTACTACTACTACTACTACTACTACTACTACTACTACTACTACTACTACTACTACTACTACTACTACTACTACTACTACTACTACTACTACCATTGTCGTTGTTATGTCAAAAATTTAAATAATTTAATTAATGTCCAATAATTTAATTAATTATTCCCTACCTCTTCCATAATGGTTGGAGGTCTTCATTTCCTCGTCTTCTCCAGGATTTCCACATCTTCAAATCCTACCCCAACCGTACAGAAAACGTTTTAAGCACATATACACACATACGCACATACATAAACACACAACACATACATAAACAAACACACACGCGTACATAAACACACAAATATACATAAACAAACACACACACATATACAAAAACAAATGCACACACATACATAAACACACACACACACAAGCACATACATAAACACACACACACACACAAGCACATATAAAAGCATCGTACGATACTCATTTTCAAGAGTTTTCTCATTTTAAATAAGCATCCATTGAAAGACGTCATCATAGTTTTAATTTTCAAGAATGTTTTCGATCATTTGGCATATTCTGAATATTAAAAATCGTGGCTAAAAATCACATAGTAGTTTTTTCATTCTTTTAAAACAAAAATGAATAAATTGTTCTTTAAAGTAATTAACAGTTTTGTTAAATCATTCGTAAGTTATAAAAAAATACATATCAACTCATTAATTTACATTGTATATGCACACACACACACACACACACACACAAACAGACAGACACACATGTACACACACACACACACACACACCTATCTATACATACATATAGCAACCTTACATATTACCAGGAGTCATTGAAAAGCCTATATTTAACACTAGTTTATTTTAGTCTACCGGAGAACATATTTTTATAAACCAAAAAAGAACGCGAATAATGTGAAGATTCTTCAACAAGTTCAAAAGTCCCTTCTTATGAAATTTGCATCTATTGGTTGTATGTTGGGATTGGGATACTTGCCAATTTTGAGTATAAATAGCATGAAATCAAGTAATCATTTAACGCTTCATGCCACAGCTTGCAATAGTTTTAGTTTATTAATTTATAACATTATTGTTTTTTTTTAGATTTTTATAAAAATTTGAAAAAATAATATTCTTTTCAAAATGTCTGCGACTAGATGTACTCTGCAAATCATGTTTTTGATTTTGTCCTTCAAGTGCATCCTTTCAAAAGATCCTGATCTGAGGAATAATATTGTTATTAAATAAGTTTCAGTTTTTTTCTAACTTTTCTATAAAATTTGTTAATAAAACTACACTTACAATAAATTTTTTGCTTGATTTGATATTTTTTTTACTAAAATTTGACAAAAACAACAATGTTGCTCTTATTAAACCGTCAAATCCAACTGCAACAGGAGACTAGCAAACCTATCAATCGATCAATCAATCGATCAATCAATCGATCAATCAATCGATCAATCAATCAATCGATCAATCAATCAATCAATCAATCAATCAATCAATCAATCAATCAATCAATCAATCAATCAATCAATCAATCAATCAATCAATCAATCAATCAATCAATCAATCAATCAATCAATCAATCAATCAATCAATCAATCAATCAATCAATCAATCAATCAATCAATCAATCGATCGATCGATCGATCGATCAATCAACCAATTAATCAGTTACAACTACTAAAAAATCTTTACTAAAATCCGGAAAAACTTCAAACATTATCACGTCTTAGAAAATTTGTTATAGACTTTTAACTTTATATTAATTCTAAAAAAAACATGGACAGATGGAGATGATTGCTTACAAAGGGTACCCAGCGGAAGAACACTTCGTCAGGACTACAGACGGCTTCATCCTAGGCCTTCATCGAATTAACAAGATGGTAGACTGTTCACAAAGGGAAGACAAGAACTGTAATGCCAACAAACCTGCCGTCTTGCTATTGCATGGTCTGTTGGAGTCGTCTACATCTTGGGTTCTCAACCAGCCACATCAAAGTTTAGGTTGCAGCGTTAATTTTAATCATAATTTTATGATTATTTAAAGAATTTATTTGTTTGATATAATTTTACGGCTTTTGGTCCCCTTGTTCAAAAAATTTTAAATGTTGAACACATTTTGCTTTATTTGTTTTTTTCCAATTATTTTATATTTCATTTGCTTAAAAGAAATAGCCTTTGTAGAGGTCTAGTCTAGCTAATCATCGTTAAATAGTTTTTCAAAGTTGTGTGATCAATATACCAAATTTTTTTTCTGAACATAACAATTCCAAAAACATTTTTATAAATACAAACAACATAACCATAAAATAAACATATAAAAAAACTAATAAAAAAATAAATCACTGTCCCAATCCAATCCCAAACACAGGTTACATACTGGCCGATGCTGGTTACGACGTTTGGATGGGTAACGTGAGAGGGAATACCTACTCCAGACAGCACGTAGACTACTCACCAAGGGATGATAAATTCTGGAATTGGAGGTAGTTGGGTGATGTCAGAATGCATATCGATATGAAAATTTCGTCTCGTTTCATCGTTTCGTTTCGTATCATCGTTTCGTTTCATATCATTGTTTCGTTTCGTATCATTGATTGTTTGAGTGCTGTGAGCTTTTTGTGAAATTAACATTAACATTTCATAAATGTGTAAAGTTCGAACGAGGAAATTAGAGTCTGAGTTAATACGAAAATTTAAACAAAAATCGGAATAATTCCTGAAAATTAAAAGAAATATTAAAATAAGAGAAGGAGGAATCTGTTAAACATTAACATCGAAGCTCATTCAAACGACATGTCACCTATAACACTGAAATTAGTCAAACTTCATCAATATCGATAATTTTTAAATTTTAGGAAAAAATATTTATTATGTCAAAAAATGAAAAAAATTCATTTGTAATAAATTATCCCCATTAAAATTAAAGTTGGGACCAAATGGCGGAGTATGACTTCCCAGCAATGGTTAACCACATTCACAACAGAACCAAACAACCGATAAACTTTATCGGATTTTCCCAAGGGAGCCTCATAGCTTTCTCTTCTTTCTCAAGAAATCAGGATATCTCAAATAAGGTGGGTTGCCTAAATAGGTTCAAACATTTTAAAATGTTTCTTAGAGCAGTTTAGTTGATGAGTTCCCTTAGTTTGATAAGTTTATCTTATGGTTTGATAGATTTATCTCATCATTTGACCTTTCGGTGACCTTTAAATGATCCCATTGAAACAATTGACAAATTTAAATAAAAATTTTTTTAGGTGAAAAAGTTCATAGCACTTGGACCTGTGGCCACAGTTAAGCACGTCAGCGGTTTTTTCAAGTACCTCGCTAAGTTTTCCATAGTTCCTGAGGTGTGAAACTTTTACATGTAAATGTAATTTTACATTATTATATATAACTCCAGGTAATTTCAAAAGACTTGAAATCAACTAAAATGTTAAAGTTTTTGAAGGTTTTAGGTTAAATTAAAAGTTTTGAATATTAATGGTCATTTAGCTAAGGGGGTTTTAGGGGTTTGAGCCCCACAAAAAATAAATTTTTGGGGGATAAAGACCAATTTAAGCCCATACTTTACAAATATTCACGTACATAAAAAATATGATATAATGAAAATATATGAAAAAAGCATATGAAAGATGTCAACTTATTAAAAAAAATTCAAGTTCACTGCATGCCCCAAATGATTTCTGGCTGTGCCACTGGCCAATAAGTCATTTATTACCTGCTGTATGCACGTGAGCTAGGTGACCATCATAAATGAATACACATTTCATTGATTTTTAGAGTTTAAACTGAAATATTCTTAGGGCGATTAAATGTGGCCTGGTATAATTTTAATTGAATTTGAAACTATCAGTTGGCAATGTTAGTGTCGATGTCAAGTGTTCATTCCGTGAAGTAGTGCACTAACTTTCTGGTTTGTTGGAAAAAAATTAAAACATTTATAAAAATAGAAGTGAGGAAAAAAATGTTTTTTTTATAAAAATGTTTCTTGAAAATTACTTTCATACATGAAAACAAACATGTTAAAGAGACGCAAACCCTTGAAGTGTATTAAGAGAGAATTTTGAATAAAAAAATTCATAAAATGAAGAAAAAAATATTGATTTTTAAATAGTTGAAATTCTTAAAAATTCATTCAAACCGAGGTAGTAAAATCCGTTCGTCTTAAACTTTCGCAATTTCGAAGTGGCATGAAAAAACGCAAGTGCTATAGATTGAAGAACACTCAACAATACAATCACTCGATGAAAATCAATTTGAATATTACGTAAAGTGTTCAACAAACAAACAAGCAATCAAACAAACAAACAAAAAACAAACGACACTTCTTTCATTAACAAACGAACAAACAAATAAACAAACAAACAAAACTTCGCATAAATTCGATGAGTATCTTTAAGTCCCTTGAGTGAAAGTGACTGCATTATCATTCATTAAAAAACTTTATGGTTAACCCGTGTGATAAAATGATGTAGCTTTGTACTTGTTAACATGCAGTTTTTTTTTATCAGGGATATGAAATAATAAGAAAAAAAATTGTTAAAATATCTTGTAATTTGTATAATTTCTAGACATTATTCAAGCTCATGGGAGTGCAAGAATTTCTTCCCTCTAGCTTTTTCGTGGATTTAGTGGCCAAGACAGTCTGCAGGGTGTTTCTACTGAAGCAGATGTGCGCCATTCCCATCCTCATTGGAGGTCTCAACAGATACAACTTGAACGAAGTAGGAGGCACACCTCTCTCTACCGCTTGTCATTTGTTTGTAATTATTTAAATACTAAGAAAGATTATACAAATTAATATTTGCATTGGTATTCGTTCACCAAGGTTGCATAGTTATATATTTTCTCAAATGTATGAAGTACAAAAACATCTACAAAAATACAATGACCAACATGAATTTAATTGAAAAAAGATAAGAAAAACTCAATAAAACTTACGTAACATAACAAAGAACACAATTAAACATGTAACAAACAAATAAACAAACAAACAAACAAACCAACCGACAGACTCGACTGCCCGTCTACATCACCCACTCACCTGCTGGCACTTCGGTCAAGAACTTGGTCCATTTTGCTCAGGTTATATTCAGTCATTATTTTCAATCATGTCGTTTTTTTGTTTAACTTGTTGGCGAATTAATGACAAAATACGTTGGTATAGATTTTATATGTTGTTAGTCGATATTTTTGCATGAATTTCATGCATGTTTCAAACTTTCATAATGAGAGAAACTCATAACCTCGTTTGTCAAATAAACATTAGCAACGGTAACAAAATTTATCTAGATGTACAAATCAGGTGAGTTTTCCTATTACGACTACAAGAAAAATAATTACGAATACTACCAACAGGTTTGGTTTTTTTCATTTTTTTGGATTTGGAAGCCAAACAAATTGCTTAATTAATTTTATTTATCCGACTGGTATTTTGCAAAGTTTCGATGGTCTATACATGTATTTTTTCACAAATATCAGTTAGATACTCACGAAACTTAGACGCCCAATTTAAAAAAATATCTAAGAATGAAACCTTGAACTAACCATCAGTTGTCTGACATGTACGACGCATCAAATTCACATGGTACATCTTTGCACCGATATAATGGTGCAATTATGTTTTTTATTTATTATAAGATCAGTGTTTCGAATGAATTTTTTAAACGAGACGATTTATACACCATCAAGTTAAAACACTAATTAATTAATTAATTCACTAATGATAGCGAAACATTTCCAACTAGACCACCGTCCCGAACTACAACCTAAAAAACGTCCACGTTCCCACATATTTATTCCACGGGAGCCATGACAAGCTATCTACTCCAGAGGTTTGTTCATTGCCGGTTAAAAGTTTTCCATTTATTCAATAAGATTACACAAACGAACTCACACAGACAGACAGACTAACACACACACACATCACATACGCATGAGATTAAGCAAATTTTTCCAATGAAACATGTTCAGTTAACCGAATTTTAGTGCTAAACTCGTCTACAATTTGTTTGCTAAGAAAATCATCTCGAGAAATTTTCTATACGAAAAGATTTTACGAATTTTTAAATGACGTTTTTAAAAAATTGACAACTGAGTAACACTCCCAACGAAGAGAATTAATGATAAAGAGAATTAATGATATTTAAGTTTGACCTTTTAACTTTTTTTAAAAAAATAAATATTTTTAATTCCGAAATAAAAATATCCCACAATGCCAATAACAAAGTGACACAGAATCTACAAATTAAAAAATTTTACGAAGGACGTGAAGTTCATCGTTGAGAACCTGCCCAACTTGAAAAACGTGACCCTCCTCCAGGGCTACCAGCATTTGGATTTTGTCTGGGGCATGGACGCCCATGTCAGAGTTTACAAAACGCTCCTTCAGATACTACAACAATAAAGAGTGGCTGGCATTTTTAATTTTTTTTTTCTAGAGATTTTTAAATCAAGTTTGGTTGTCAAAATTTGTCTTTACTAGATACTACAACAAAATGACTGACAGTTTGAATTTGTTTGAAGATTTTTAAATCAAGTTGGGCTATCTAAATTTGTCTTTTATTCAAAATTAAATTTTCAATTTTTATTTTACTGAAGAAACAACGAAACATTGATAAATTGTTATTTGCTTAACCGCTATTGATCAAATTTAAAAACTGTAAGCACTGTCTTAAACTCAAAAAACAAACTTAATAACATTAAGAAATAATAAAAAATACAAATATCTACTGGAAATTAATTGAAATCAAATTGGTCACTTTTCCAAAAGGCAGATGACAAATTGTTAATTAATTTTAAAAAGCCTCTGTTAACAATACAAGCCGTCACAAAACTTTTTCCAATAAAACTTAACAAAATGAAGGTTTCTGGTTGTTCACTATATATCACAAATTCTAAAAATTGACCTCGTACAGTTTACTATCACAGAATTAAAATTTTGAAGAACAAATATTTTTCCACTTTACATTCAAATCGATTCATTAACAACAACCTATTCCACAACTCTCTACCTCCTTTTTTGACAACTTCTCCATCACTGACGAAGTTCAGAGCGGATCTCAAGACCCATCTGTTTGCAAAATTCACTGAGGAGCGCTGTTGAACATCGCGAAAATAGCGCTCTATTAACAAGTTGACTGAATGATTGATTGTTATAAATTTATTACATACCAATACTTTACAATTTTTTCTACTGATTTGCAAACCACATTGCTTTTAAAAATGTCTGTCAACAAAAGATGTCTTTCAACATTGTTGACGCTAAAAAGAGCTCCGAGACTACGGAGATACCAAAGAACTAATTAAAATTGTTGATAACGTTAAAAATCGGATTGTCAATTAGATAAAATATGAACCTTGGTGAACTTGTATTTAATTGGGATTTAAATTAAAAAAGATTAATTCGTAAAACAGAAAATTGAAATAGCTTAATTACAGTATAGGATGGTAAACGCCTGAAACGAGCTGAGCGATGAAATTGTCTCAGTGGAATCAATCAACAACTTTAAAATCAAGCTAGGATACTAGAACATTTATTTTGTAGTGGTTCTTATACAGATGCCAGTCTACTGAACAACTTTAAACTTTATTATTATTATTATATAGTTTTCAATAAATTATGCTTAAAAAAGGATTGTTGTCCAAATTCACTAATTATATAAGAATATGTATAATGTATAGAATATATATATATATATAAGATTACGTATGATGTATATGTACTCTATATTATTTTCATTAAATTCTATCGCTATAGTATATATAAACTCTAGCGATTATAGTATTATTGTATAACATATATATTACTATTATAAATAAATATATATATATATATATATATATAACATAGTATACTGTACATTTACAATAAATAATCTTATGAGAGCTTTGAAGTGAACCTGCACATGGGCTAATTGTTTAGATCCTAATATAAAGGACACAAAGTTACATGTTAATACGTTGTACTTCGGTTATCTTCTTGACAGAAAGTTGTCGTCGAAAGAAATGGCCTTCATATTTTTGAATTTAATTTTCTTGGCCTGTTGCATTCCAACAAATGAAATACTAAGTGAAGAAATAAATAATAATATTAATAATAATAATAATGATGATGATCCTGATTTGAAAAGAAATGTCGTTAGTATTGGCTTGGCAATGGTGGTTGTTGTGTAATGTAAAAAAATGTAAATTATATTAGGCTTTTTTTTAAGTTTTGCAGCAAAACTTCTGCCTCTCAAATCAGCCAACGCTTACACATTAACAATTAACCATACAATTTTTAAAAATTATTAAAAAGAAGTATTTATTACAGTCTGAAATAATAAGAAGCAAAGGCTACCAGTGCATCGACCACATCGTCCAAACGAGCGACGGCTTCTTGTTAAGTTTGCAAAGAGTCAACAACAGATCCTTCGCGAGATTAGATGTGTATGACACGCTCGCTTCAAACGACGAGAATGATGGAAAGCCTGTTGCGTTTCTGCAGCATGGCTTGTTTGATGCATCTTCAACTTGGGTCATTAATCAACAGCACCAGAGTTTAGGTTAACTTTTTCTTTGAAATTTGATGTAAATGCCTGTTATTTTTACATATAACTGGTAATATTCAATAAACATTTGATAGTTTTATTGATAAAATGTGTTTTTTTATATACCCAAAACCATTTATTATATTTAGGTGAGGTTTTATTATTTATTTATAAAACCTAAAACAACAAATTTTTGATACGTTTCATAATTATTCGGCTGGATGGTTCAGGTCTCTGTCTCTCATGTTGCAGTAGCCCGGTTCGAATTCCTTTTGACGCACATGTGTTATATTAATAGTAGTGTTATTGTTTGATCTGCACATATATAGACACTTTCATATAAAAGTTCAATTGACTTTCACTCCTTGTTTGTAGAATTTTGTGGGTGCTTAACTATTTCTAAACTCTAACCTTCTACTCTACATACTAAAATGATTCTTAGCGGACCGTCTATGGCCATAATAATTGAAATTGTTTGTTAAATTTCGTAATTTAGACAGTTCTAAAGAAGGTTATTCTTTCTAAATTAACTTAAGTTTCATTTTAAATTATTTAAATTGTGCAGGATTTGTGCTGGCAGACGCTGGATACGACGTCTGGATAGGGAATATCCGCGGTAACACTTACTCAAGAAGGAATGTTCATTACAATCCGGCTGATCCCAGATTTTGGGATTGGAGGTTCATGATGGTGGCATTAATGAGTGAAGAATGAATGAATGAATGAATGGATGAATAGATGGAAGGACGGGTGGGTGAGTGAATGAATGAGGTAATAACAATAATGATGACGACGATAACATCATTTATAAAGATGCAGACGGTGGTGCTGACAAAGAGGATGATTTTTTATAAAAATTTATCTAAAAGAGGATGTTCACATTAATGATAATGCTGCTAATTGAATAGATTGATAAAGTCGTCTTTCTCATCCTCTTCCTCTTCATCATCATCATCTTCATACTCACCATCATAATCATCACTACTATTAAAGCCATCATCATCACCATCATCACAAGTTGGGACGAAATGGCCAGGTACGACATCCCGTCAATGTTACATTACATAAATAACGCTACAAAGCAAAGAATAAATTATATTGGTCACTCACAAGGAACCCTCGTTGCCTTTGTGGCCTTTGCGAATGACCAACATCTAGCTAATTTGGTTGGCGGCTATTTGTTGCATCTTATAGATTAGCTCAGTGAATATAGAGTAGCTCAGTCGTTTGTGTTTTTGTCTTGTTTTGGTTATTGATGAGTAGATGATGAAGATGATGCTGATTCAAGTGCTTCTAATGAATGCCTTTTGTATGGCAAACGCTAGCGCTTGCCTTTTGACAGACCGGTAGAAATGACGTCACTAGCATTCACTTGATTGACAGGTGGACAACCTGATAGCACTTGGTCCGGTAACAACAGTTGGTCATATTGTGGGCTTCTTCAAACTCCTCTCTGAGATTGCCATTGTTCCAGAGGTAAACTTTCTCTCTTCTTCATCTGACAAATCCAAAATTGCTCACGGATTGTTCAGTTATAGTTGCGATTATTTTTAAAGTTACAACAGTTCCGGCATACCGCACGATACACGTCTGTATGTAATTGTGAAAACTTCTTCATAAGCTCAAGTTCTTTTGTTCGTACAGCATTTAAACCCCAGCTAAAACCCAAACGCATCAGCAACAACAACAACAACTACAAATTTGAAAGCACACCACCAACAACAACAAAAACAACAACAAAACCTTACAGACCCTGTTCAAACTGTTCGGCATACACGAGTTCCTCTCCTCAACGACGTACATGAAGTGGGTGGCCCAACATGTCTGTCGCGAGGTGATCCTCAAGGAACTCTGCATTGCGTCTGTCCTACTCGGTGGTCTCAATCATTATAACGTTAATGAGGTCAGGTCAATCATTGTAACGTTAATGGGGTCAGGTCAAGCATTATAACGTTAATGAGGTCAGGTCAATCATTACAATTAAGCTTGTACGGTCTCCAAGCCATTTTTTTGTGGTTAATAAAATATAAATAAAAAAAATGTTAATGAGGTCAGGTCAATCATTACAGTGTTAAGGAGGTCAGTTCAATCTTTATAACTTTAATAAAGTCAGGTCAATAATTATAACGTTCATGAGGTCTGGTTGTAGTCTGGTTAATGTCAGTATAATTATCTGTATTGAATCATACATGTGCGTGCACACATACTTACACAAACATACATATGACACACACACACATACACACAGACCAGAGTGCCAGTGTACATATCTCACACGCCAGCCGGTACCTCAGTGAAGAATGTTGTACATTTTGTGCAGGTAAGCACCATTTATTTGTTGTACACTCCAATGAAGTTGTTCCAGACAGCACACACACACACCACACACACGCACACCACACACACATACACACACAAACACACACATATACACACACATACAGATAGGCGCACACACATATATAATGACATAGAGACACATATCTATGTGTCTCTATGTCACACATAGAGACAGACACACACAAAGACACACAAAGACAGACACACACAAACATGAACGCTAGTACAAAAAAATTCCAATGACTTGTGATGATAATTTTCGGCATGTTGGCAAGAAACTCAAAAATAGGAGTAAATTTATTTCATAAAAAAAATGACGGATCAAACATGAAAGAACAAATTAATAAAATATGAACGAGTGAATGAAATAAGGAGTAAAAACGAATGAACAAACAGACAAATGAATAATAAACACGATTAAACATCAGATCAAAGAAACATGTATACATACATACATACATACATACATACATACATACATACATACATACATACATACATACATACACACACACATACATACATACATACATACACACACACACACACATACATACATACATACATACATATATACATTAACTTTCTAGACTTGTTTCATCAGAAATTTAATTACTACACCGCAGATGGTTCGATCAAAGAAATGCATGGCTTACGACTACAACAACGAAAAAGATAACTTTGATCACTACAACCAAGTCAGCAGCAGTTCCGTCTTGTATTCCTTCATTTAGTTATCCAATCGTTCGTTCATTCATTCGAGTACTCTTCCATGCATCAACCTGTGCTTCAGATATATCAGATATATCAGCCGTATATAGCGTATATCAGATAGATATATCAACCACATATTCAGATATATATCGTCTTATTCAGTTTTCGTTCAGCCAATCAATCATTAAATGATATTATCTAACATTCATTCATTAGCTGCATGGATCATTAATTATGTACTTGTACCTATCTACCTACATACAAACATATACATACATACATGCACACATATATACAAACATGCACACATACATACAATACAAACATACATGCATATATACATACATACATACATACATACATACATACATAACATACATACCCACATGTGTACAACTAGCACCTAGTTTAGAACATTGGCAAGTATACAAAAGCAGACACACACACACACACACACACACACACACATTTGCAAACATGCAATCTCACAATTACACATACTTTCATGCGAATGAACACACGCATGCAAACACACTTAAGGATTCACACAGACAGACAGTCAAACACACAGACACACACACACGCTCAGACAACAGCTCCGGTATACAACATCAGCAACATGCACGTTCCAACCTACCTTTTCTATGGTGGAAAAGATGAACTGGCGGACCCAACGGTTGGTTGAATGAGTGAATGAAAGAATGGATAAGTGGATGGATGGGCGAAGGAATGGATGGATGAAAAAGTAAACGAATGAACGAGCAAGTGACTTGATTATTAAATCATATGAAAAATAACGATCGACTGGTCAAAAAGTTTAGTCAAAGGAGTAAACGAATCAATAAATTAACCAAGCAACCGAAAATCATCTAATCATCCAACCAACCGACCAACCAACTAACCAACCAATCAATCATCTAACCAACCAACCAATCATCCAACCAACCAACCAATCATCCAACCAACCAACCAATCATCCAACCAACCAACCAATCATCCAACCAACCAACCAATCAGCCAGCCAACCAACCAACCAATCAAAACAGGATGTAGCAAACATAATAGAAAGCCTGCCAAATATCAAAGAGGCCATAGAAATACCTGAGTACAAGCACTTGGACTTCATCTGGGGTTTGGACGCCAGCAAAAAAGTTTACGAAAAGATTTTAAACATCCTGCCAAAATATGGCGGTCGCATATATAAAAACGCCAACAACCATTTCTAAATTTTCACCCCGAATTGTATTTGGTTAATTATACTTTAATTAAATAATTTATTTTAAATAAATCAAAGATGAAATAAATTTATTGGTTGACGATGATGACGTTTGCAGTGATGGAGACACCGAACAATAATTGAAAAAGTGTTTTATTATTAATCGTTGCTGTCAACTGATATTAACAAATCAACCACGTGTAACTTTATATTATTATTTATGTAATTATAATTAAAATATTATTTATATCATTCTTATTATTAATTAGTTCTGCTAGCAAATAGGTTGGGGTAGAACTTGACACCCTCAATTGATTCGTCCCTACACAACTTGCCCAACTTCTCTGCGGTCTGTGCTCTGATTGGTCAATTTATTTGAATGGTTAAATTTGATTGGTTGATTATTTAAGAGGGTTAAATTTGATTGGTTGATTATTTAAAATGGTTAAATTTGATTGGTCGATTTTTTTAAATGGCTTTTTGATTTGATTGGTTAACTATTTTGGATGAATGATTTCATTGGTTGGTTAATTGATTTGATTAGTCGATTATTTTTTTATTTTGATCGGCAAATTATTTTGATTGGTTGGTTATTTTGGATATCTGTTCTTATTGGTCAATCAGTCATCCAATCATTTCTACTCTGACCTCTCCTTAGCGAGAACCACAGAGAGGCCGATGATGTCCGCCAGTTGTTCTGCTGTTAAACAGCCATTCTCGGTCACCTGTCAGATATAATTAGCTTTCATTCATCCATCCATCGATCAATCAATCAATCAATCAATCAATCAATCAATCAATCAATCAATCAATCAATCAATCAATCAATCAATCAATCAATCAATCAATCAATCACTTAATCAATAACTTAATCAATCACTTAATTAATTAATCAATCAATCAATCAATTAATCAATCAATCAATCGATCGATCGATCAATCAATCAATCCATTCAAGCATCCATAAATTCATCCATCCATATATTAACTTATACTTTTATCAATCCATCCATCCATCCATTCATCCATCCATTTATCCATCCATTCATCAATCCATCTCACAATTTGTTCAGTCTGCAGGGCGAGTACAGCCTCGTCACATGACCTCAACTGGACCACCTTCACTCCATCTTCAAACTCTTTCATTCTAATATAGATCACGTGATCAATAAATTACAACAATAATAATAATAATGATAAAAAAGCAATGATATGAAGGAAAATAATTACATTTATTATAAAGAAATCCAATTAGTTTAATAATTATTATATTTATTAATATAATTAATTAATTAGATTAATAATTAATTAATTAAGGATTTTAATTAGGCTAAACGACTGCAGAAAGCAAATCGCCCAACAAACTTTATAGATAGATTCAGCCAATCAAATAGCATACACGCCTGATCCAAGTCCTCCGGAGATAACAACTGTTTATCGAACGTTTATTCGTTCATTTTTTCATTCATTCATTTGTTTGTTCATTCATTTGTTCATTCATCCATTCATTTGTTCATTCATTCATTCATTCGTCCATTCATTCATTCGTTCATTCATTTGTTTCCCTTTACTTGATCCTCCACTAAATCCCATTTTACGTAAAAATTCAAAAACATTTCCACCAAACCAGCCAACTGAAGTTTCAACCACCCACCCACCCACCTACCCACTGACCTCCATGCCCCGTGCCCTATTGACCCTGCAGTACGCCTCCGTCAGGGTCATGACGCCACCACAATCCTGATAATGACGTAAAGGTAACTAACTACCATTATTTGGTCTAGCCCCACATTAACATAATTTATGTACATAATTGAATTAATTCAGGATAAACCTTTAGGATAGGCTCCAAAAATTCGCAGGTTTGCTTGGCTAGACTTTTGTAATATGAATCCCCAGAGCCTATGAATATTAATGAGTGCATAAATTAACGAAGTTTCCAGGAATAATAAACATAAACAAATAATCATATTAATAAATATAAATATCTATATAAATATGTATGTTCTTGTTGAAGCATTCTATAGCACAGTTCCATTTATTAGTCATTTCATCATCATTGATAAATAATGTAACATAATTTATCACCATCATAATCATCATCCTTAATCATCATCGTTATCACCGTTATCATCATCATAATCGAAACGAGACAAAACGAGACAAAACGAATCGAAACGAGACCATCATCGCCTTACCATGTGTTTCTTTAGTGATGGGATCTTGGATGCCAAGGCTCATTAGATACTGCTTGAACTGAAGCGTCTGTCGTGTCATCATCATCATCAACGTCGTCGTCGTCATCATCATCATCACCATCATCGTTATTACTACTATCATCATTACCATAATCGTATTTAGCATTATCGTCATCATCATAATCATCATCAATGACATTATCACCAACACCGTCTCAATCATCATCATCATCATCATCTTCGCCATCTAATAAAACATCATCAGCCCAAAAAAACACCCACCACCGTTCTTAAGACTCATCGTCAGCATCACCAACAATACCAACATAATCACCGCAAAAATAAACATCATTATCATCATCATCATTATATCACCATCTTCATCATATCACCATCATCATCATCATCATTATATCCATTATATCATCATCACCATCATCATCATATCATTATTATCATCATCATCATAACCTCGTCATCTGTGACGTTGTCTTGTTTATCTTTTAATTTGTTTGAGAGGTTCTTTGATATTGTTACCATTTCTTGGGCCTGTGGAGGAGAATAAGTGATTGAATGAATGGACGAATGAAAAATTGGGTGAATGAATGAATGAACGAACGAATGAAAAATTGGGTGAATGAATGAATGAACGAATGAAAAATTGGGTGAATGAATGATAGAAAACCATAATCAAATGAACGAATCAACAAATAAACGAATAAGTGAACGAATGAACGAGCGAATTAATAAATAAACAAATAAATGAATACAAGAACGAATGAATAAAAAAAGAACAGCAACTTCTGAGTGACCTTGACCATGAGATTGCTGAGGTCTTCGAAGGCGGTGCTGATTGTAGTATCCCTCTCCTGCCTCCTCATCTCTAAACTTCTCTCTATCCCCCCTATACCCATCCGAGATGCTTTCTGATGGGGAGGGGGCGACGATAATGGTGGTGGTGGTGGTGTGATTATGATGATGATGGTGGTGATGTGATTATGGTGATGATGGTGGTGATGTGATTATGGTGATGATGATGGTGGTGATGTGATTATAATGATGATGATGATGCTAGGATTATGGTGATGATGATGATGTGATTATGGTGATGATGATGGTGGTGGTATGATTATGGGGATGATGAGAAAATGTGATGATGATGTTTCCTAATGGTTATGGTAACGATGCTATTACACTGATAAAATGGTTTTTTCGTGTATGTGTGTACGTGTGTGTGTCTGTCTCTGTGTGTGTGTGTTTGTGTGTGGATGGTGATGTTTTCCTCAGGGTGGGAATGGTGGTGATGTTTTCTGGCGATGAGGACCATGACAATAATTAACACTAATCAATTAATTAATTAACATTAATTAAACTCCCAACTAAATATACTAATTAATTGAAAAAAACTAAGTTTAAAAATTAAATATTAGTCCTAGGAAAATTGGAATCGGCCATCTTACATTAACGATTGAAGATTCTTGTGGCGGCTGTAGCTGTGGCTGCTGTAACCACTTCTTCTTCATCACCGCCTCATTGAGCCTTTCATAAAACTGATAATGACGAGAGGAAAAATGATGATGAGTGACACACACACCACAGAGCAAAATGACAGAAAAGCAGCCAAAAACATGCAGAAGACTCACACACACAGACAAAACACACAGACTGGCACACACACACACACGCACACACACACACTAACAAACACATAACAAACTAACAAACACATACACACACACATACTGGCATACACACTTATACACAGACACACAAACTAACACACGAATACAAAAGCCCAAACAGAACAACATACACACAAACAAACACACCTACAAACCCAGACACATACACACACACAGACATCTAGACAAACACACGCACAGAAACAAACATACTGGCATACACACTTACACACAGACACATAAACTAACAAACAGATACAAACACACACACAGACACATACAAAAACACACACACAAACACACACAAACACAGACATCTAGACAAACACACGCACACAAACAAACAAACAAACATTCTCATGTCCTCCGTCAGTGAATGAAAGCCTAACAAAGGAATATAAACTTGATCCAACTGGTCCAGATTTAATGACGTCATTGGATGAAGATGATGACGAAGATGATGATGAATCTTTAGGGGACAAGTGAAGAACTATCTTTGGACTATACAGATGATAATAAATTATGATAATACTGATAATAATATAATAATAATATTATATTTAATAATAGTATAATAATTATATTATTATAATATGATAATAATAATAAAATATATAATGATTATAGTACGGTGATGACGACCGGGTGATGGAGCGACGATGGTGATGTGATATCTAATCATAATGATAAAGAATATCATATACAATGACAAATGATACAGTTTGAGGAACTTTTAGTAAGGTGATGTTATGGCGAAAACAGGGGTGAAGATACACAGATCATGATATCAACAGTAAATGATACTATTAATGAAGATAGTAAAGTTACAATGGTACAGTTTGAAAACCTTTTAGTAAGGTGTTGCTATGATGATAGCAGGAGTGAAGATACACAGATCATGATATCAACAGTAAATGATACTGTTAATGGAGATAGTAAAGTATATCATTACAATGATACAGTATGAGAACCTTTTAGTGAGTGATCCTGAATCTTTATCAATCTGAATGATATATCTTAGTGGCAGCGCTATAACATATGTCTGTGTGTGTGTGTTTGTTTGTGTGTGTGTGTAAAATATTCGGCATAATTAAATTTTACAAATATAAGTGAATACAATAATAATTATTATTATCATTAAAATAGTAATTATGAAATAAAATAATTACCCACTCAATAATGTTAGTAATATCTTTATATCTATTTATAATAATAAGGCCATTTGTGCAGCATTCTAACCATAGCTTTAGTTAGAGGCAACAAATAATTAATTACATTAGTAATATTTTATTCTAATTTCAAATTATTTTTGTAGAATTAGATCAATAACATACTGGTAGTTTGAACAATAAGTAAGATGAAATAAGGAAAAATAAGAAATGTTTTATTTTGGTTATGTAATATTCATACGATATGACATCTTACAGGTCTGCTGTGATCCGTCCACACGACGTCGTGGGTCGTTATCACGGCCTGACCCTTGTCAAATGCTGTCTAGAGTTGGTTTGTAAGTTAAATGAGTTTAACTTTTAAATTTAATCAACCAAAGATAATAATAGTCTAATTTTTTGTGAAAGAAATATGATGTTTCTGCATTAGGAAGGAATTGCATTTTGGTTTTTAAAATTATTTAGTAAAAAAGTTAGTTGGTTGGTTAACCTTTTTCTGATTGCCATCATAAAGTCTGACACAACTCTGAGAATGTAGTACTGGTTTTGCCTCTATGGACGCATCAAACCACACAAACCTATCCATTTGGCTGTCTGTCTCAGTTTGAGTTTGGTTGATGAAGAAGAGCTAGCCAGCCAGCAGTTAATTAGCTTTGGATAGGATATGGAAAGATCTGGATGACTGAATCTGACCTGACAGCTGACGACAATGCTCTGCCAGTTTTGATTTGATATTATTTTAATTATTAAATTTCAATATTTTAATAGTAAATTAATATTAAAATTATTTATTAATTAAATTTGAAATCAAGAAATGTCAATTAATTTATTTATTAATCAGCATCAAAAAGGTTCTTGTAAATAACGAACGCACTAACTGCTTTCTCTTTTGTCAAAAAATCATTTTAATAATTAAACGAAAATAAATACAAACGTCTTTTTAATATATTTAATAATTAATTTTTCATTAATTCAAATGTTAGCAAATAAATTATTATAAAGTTTACATTTAAACGGTGAAGAAAACAAAAGTGATGTGATAAAACTCGGTATGCTAAACGAAGAAGATTATTAAAATTTTGTTTCATAACCTTTATAAATATATATATATATAAAATAAAATTTTAAAATAAAGGGCTTTTTGACACAAAATAATTATTTAAACATTTATTTTCAACTGATATAATAAAAAATATAACATTTTAAATAAAACAAGTCCGTCGTTATTTGCCGAATATGATTCGGTTACGAGAATTTGGCTGGCTTATCTCCGAGCACATGTTTTGTGTTGTGTGGGTACCAAGTCAGATCGGGGATTAATAATTTTTAATTCATTAAAGTTTTTCTAGGTAGTGTTTTAGTAAGTAAGTTAGTTCAGTGATTTTATTGGCCTTCAGTGTCCAATGGCCATCCCTTGCTGTGTGAATGTGGAAATCCCTGTGGTGGGTTTGTTGTCTCTGGAAGAATTTAATGAGAATTATCTCAATTCAGGTTTGTGGAGCTTTTTTTTAATCTTTTTCTTAATTAGATTTGATTTAATTAAATATATTAAATATACTTTTAATTATTATTTATATTATATTAACTATATTAATCAAAATATTATTTTTTATTTATTTCTCATATAAATTAAAATGAAAATGTTCTATTTTTAAATTTTATTCTCTAAGAAAGGTGAAATAATAAAATATAATATGAAAAAATAGAAATATATTTGGTATTTCCCACCCATATGGCCCCTATATTATAATTATATTTACACATAAATTAGGCAAACCAGTCATCATCAATGGAGTCATAAGCGAGTGGCCTGCCAGCCGGTGGACTCTTGAAGAACTCAAAAGAAAAGTTGGCCATCGCGTCATTCACGTCAGGAGCAACACAAACTGCTTGCAATATAAGGTGTGGATGAAGATGTGGGTGCTATATATATAGCAACCATTTAAGCATCCTTCTATTTATCTATCCATCCATCCATAAATCCATCCATCCATCCATTCATCCATCCATCTATCTTTTATTTATTCTTTTATCACTTATTCATCTGGTCATTTTTTTTCACTGGTCTTCTTTTTTATTTATTAATTTGTTTGCCATTTTGATTCTAATTTAAAATGTACAAACATAAAACAGACATACATGCATACAAACATGAATACATACATACAAACTTATAGACACATTTATAATCATTCACGCATACAAACATTCAGGCATACAAATAAACATCCATACAAACAAACATTGTTATACAAATGTCCAGACATACAAATACGCAGGCAAACAGAGAAACAAACATACAATTAAGCATTCCTACTTCATACAAGACAGGACAGCAGTATAACATACGACAAACGACATTTAGTGACTACATACAAGACATACAATTGAACAACAAACGTGCCAGAAATTCCTACATGGCTGTGCAGAATATCAAGAAGGCTTTACCAGAATTGGAGGTATCTAATGTTCTATGTTTATGTTTACTGTCTATGTTTCTGTTTATTGTCCATGCTTATGTTTATTGTCTATGTTTTTGTTTATTGTCTATGTTTATGTTTATTGTCATGTGCAGTTTGTTTATGTTGTTTTTGCTTGTTTGTATTTGAGTTTAGGCTGTCTAATTATGTCTCTGTTTGTTTGTTTGTTTGTGATCTTACTTAAATTTCTTTTTGTTGATACATACAAACATATAGACTTACATACAATCATTCGTACATACAAACATAAATACATAGAATCAAAGAAACATACAACCATATAGACTTACAAGACTTACATACAATCATTCGCACATACAAACATAAATACATAGAATCATACAAACATATAGACTTACATACAATCATACACACATACAAACATAAATACATAGAATCATACAAACATACAACCATATAGACTTACATACAATCATACACGCATACAAACATACACGCATAAAAACAGACACATTTTTATTGCTTATTGATTCATTTTAGATTTATTGAAAATTATTTTTGTATAATTATTTTTGTTTTATGGACTTCATTTTCAATTAAATCCACAATTATTTAGTTACTTTTTGTTGTGCTAAATTTTTTTATTCAATTAAACTTGGAAAAAAAAATTCTTATCCTTCCACCAAGCCAGACATAAGAATGCCTGAGTATGTTGGAAAGGTGCATGGCGGTCCCTTTTTATGGATTGCTAATCGAGGACATTACGGTTGGTTGTTAATTTATTGATTGATTGGTTGGTTGATTGATTGATTGATTAATTGGTTGATTGATTGATTGATTCACTGGTTGATAGGTTGTTTGATCGGTCGATTGAATAGTCGATTAATTTTAATCAATTAATCAAAAAATCAATCAATCAATCAACCATTACTCACTCAGTTAATCAATCAGACAATGACTCAAATAATTATTCAATCGACTATTCAATTGACTAACTAACCAACCAACCAATCAACCAACTAACCAATCAATCAACCAACTAACCAACCAACAACCAATCAATCAACCAACTACCCAATCATCCAACCAACCAACCAACCAGTCAACCAACCAGTCAACCAGCCTACCAACCAACCAATCAACCAACTAACTAACCAATCATCCAACTAATCAACCAACTTACTAACCAATCAATCAACCAACTAACCAACCAACCAACTAATCAATCAACCAGCTACCCAATCATCCAACCAACCAACCAATCAACCAACCAATCAATCAACCAATCATCCAACTAACCAAACAACCAACCAACCAATCAACCAACCAATCAACCGACCAATCAACCACCAGAATACAATCACGTGGATCCGGACGACGGCCTCTTGATCGTTGCCAATGGCAGCAAGCAGGTCCGGCTGTTCAGCTGTCAATCAATCGACCGACTCTACCCTAACAAGCTCGGCACAAAAGGAAGAACCGTGAGTTATGATTATGATGACGATGGCAGTGGTAATGATGATGATGGTGGTGGTAGGGTGATGGTGATTATTGTGATTTTGTATTACGATGGTGATGATGATGATGATGGCTATGATGATGATGATGATGATGGTGATGGTGATGAGGGTGATGAGGATAATGATGATGATGATGATGATGATGATGATGAT